GGGGGAGAGGGGGGAAGGGCATAACTGAACCCTTCCATGTGAATCTCGTTTCTCACTTGTATGTTTTGCCGTTACCATGAGAAATGGAGAATGCGACGCCTCGGCCACGGCAAATGCATAGCCTCCAGACGCAAAAAAAAGAAACCGCTTTTTACACTCCCTCGTGTCGTGTACCGACTCGATATCGAGTCATCTGCATGTCCGTGAAACGTGACGTGCTTTTTCCTCGCAGGGTACGAGAGAGAGGGTATCGGGGCAGAGGGCGCCAAGGCTAACTATCCTCTACTTGATTCACTAATTAAAGGACTAGGGTTCGCGTGAACTCGACCTTTCGGATCGGTTGGGTGCCCCATCCGAACACGGGGGATTCCCATAACACGCCGGAGCCGCGTCGAGGATGGAATGCGGGAGTTGCGTTTCCGCTTTCCCCGTCGGTGCGGCGTGGGTTCGTGGAGACGGGATGCAGCTGGGGTCGGTTCGTAGTCGTTCGAGATTCTCGGGGACGAGAAATGACGGCGATTCATCAACGCGAGAGGGGAGATTTGTTTCTCTCATTGCGGGGATGGTAAAAGGAATAGTTGCCGTCAGATTCGAGGATGGAATTCTGATTGTAACGAACGTCTTTATCGGGCCGCCGCGATCGATAGAGAAGGAAACCTACTTTTCATGGACTCTAGTCCTTTACTCGATGACATACCAAAACACAAGGTGTAATCGATAAGAAAAGGGGCTGGTTCTATACTCATTTATTCCCTCATTTACTCATGCCAATTCTTTTGGGATCATTTATTGGCTATGGTGCACAAACGAAATTTATTGCTCGTTGGTCTCTTTTTCCCCCCTTTTTGATTTTGATTTTATTATTATTATTATTATTTTTACCCGGTAACTCCCAGAATCCGGATGGCCATATTCCTTGTTTCATCTGCTCATTCCCAAAGAAGCTCTTCAAAGTGTCCCCAATTACTGTCACATGTCTTCACGAACATATACGGAGTATCTGGCTTTCCGAGATCACAAATGGATACATTTTTGTATTGCGCACAGAACGATAGTTGCAGGGTTAGAGAATTTATTTCGAAGGCACTCTTCGACCTCATGCAGTGAAGCTAAATGGGAAGAGACTTCCCATCGTTTTCGGCGCGAGAACTGCGTTCCCACATGCTTTTCAAATGAGGGTGTGGAAACACCGTTCCCATATTTCCTCCAGGAACTTGATAATAAAAAACATTATTGCCGGAACGAGCTCCTGCAATTAATGACTGCAATGGGAGAGCGAGTTCAACGTATGAAATCTTCGTTTGTACTGTTCCCATGCTCGTACAAGTCGTCTTTCATCACTGACCCCCTAGTGAAAACGATCGATTTTTTTTTTAAACAAATAAAAGTGTCATAAAATCGGGAGTAAAAAAAAATAGAAATGTGCCTCGTCCGAGGAGCCTCTGAGGTATTGGAGTGCCCTAAAACGGTTCACAAAAAGCGCTTTCGTTGGGGGTGACCGAAGGTCCAAAAGACCAAAATTCCATCATCGTCAGAAAAGTGGAGCCGCTTAAAATTTGTTTTGAGTATCGAAATACAGTATAGCCTGACTGATTTGCCAGTCTCGTCTCCTTCAAGGATTTCCAGGACTTTTGTTTTCCTTCAGCGGTATCAAGTTTTATCAGGGACCGACTGTACCTGGGGAGGGGGGGGGTCACAGTGTCCATTAAGGAAATATTTTTAAAAGTTCAAAAGAAGACCAGCCAGCTATAAATTTAGTCCATGCACCCCAATACGCGATACTAGATCCCCACGAAAATTGGCATGGGCATTACAGGGAATAAAGACGTCGAAAAACCAGTTCAGTTCCTTTTTTTTCTTCCAACACCTAATCATTGATGGTCGGGGGCCGTCTTCCACGATCATCAAAATTTATGACCCGAGCTGAGTGCACTGAGAAGTGCTGGAAGGAACCTCGAAAGAGCAGAGCACGGCATTGGTAACAGGGAAAAGAAGATAGCGGAGCGTTTCTCAAGCCTATCGTAACGCTTGTTCAGGCTGAACAACCGCCGGTACGTTAGGAGGAGGTTCCAAGGTCCATCCATGTCCCGTAGGAGACCTATTTCCTTTCGACTATTTGATTTTACTGCACGTGCGGCGACGTGAATTCGCCCGACGATGCGGAAGTCTCCGCCGGGTGCGATTTGGGGTTTCATCACTGCCGAATGCCGGAGTGTCGGGAATGAACGAAGAAAAACAAGACTATCCACTATCGACCGAATGTCGGCAGTCGTCCGAAGGAATGCATCTGGGCCCATGCCTCGCATTCTCACCTGTACGAAGAACCCTTAAAAGGAAGGCAAAATTTCCTTCCAGCTTCTCGCGTGGAGAATGTTCACGTCAGGTGATTCCGTTATAGTCATGGAATAAATAAGCTCCCGTCCCTCTTTTTTTTCCCCCTATCCATCACGCGAGCGCGGGATAAAAGAGACAGTGTAGCCATAATCATACCTGTTACGGCCACGGCAGAGTAAATGAAAACGTCTCGTAAATCCTTACGGGTAAAAGAGCCGAGGATTCATTGAGAATAAAAAATTCCTTCAATGCGCCTTTACACCCTTTCTTCATCGCAAATTCCATCACCTGTCTGGGCTCTTTTCGAAACGACCTGTTCAGTGTCTCTACAACTACTAATTGTCACGCGTCAGAAACTGATTTGACATCTGGCAGAAAGGCGAATTATTACTTGGTCACTGCATTCCCCCCCAAGGTGTCGCTAGTAGATGAAACCATACCATAGCTTCATAAATCGGTCGTNTTCCCCCCCAAGGTGTCGCTAGTAGATGAAACCATACCATAGCTTCATAAATCGGTCGTCAAACCTTGCGAGACAGTCTGGGAATTCCTACTCTTCGTGAGTATAGACACTTACGCATAAGCAATGAAGCGGGAATTCCTTTATTCACGTGATAGCATGTACTTAGAGACGCGGAGGAAAATGTACAACATTGATTAGCATTGAATTCTATTATTTCCACGCCGGCGAGAATTATGAACTGCCAGAGGACGATGCCATCTCTTCCTGCTTGCGAAATCCGACGTAACCAAAGGACCGTTCCGTTCAAAGGCCAGAGTTGCGGGAAGGTCATAAGATGGGCCCCCCCCCTCCGGGGAAACCATTCGGGCTCATCCAGGCTGGCTGTAGGTGCATTTCATGACTGGCACGTCCTGATGTGGAGTGGGTCTACGGCCGTGGGAGACGCTGCAGTCGGAGGTGAAAGACTGTGCTTAACATTGAATTCTGGGGTCTGCGAGCACTTTCTACAAGGCAAGACTTAACACGATAGGCAAAAAAACACTAGAATACGACATGTGAGACCTTTATTTTCATTAAGTATGGTCAAAACATTTGCACACAACACAGAATTGAATAGCACATAGTACTACGCACCGTTTGTTGACAAAAACGTAAGAGATTTCAATTACACATGAAGAATGACACCAAGCGAAGGGTCTACGGAAGTAGAAACAACGCAATCCAATAGGCAGAAATTGCCATTCCAAAACGCCATGAAGTAAAGAAGAGAGAAAAGACCTGACTTGGTCGACTATCACAAACATGAAGAAAGGAAGAAAGGAGACCTGACTTGGTCAACTATCACAAATTCAAGCAATCATGCAACTAGAGAAGACAAAAAAAAACAAAGCAAGCTGCCTTTCTTGGAGAGAAATCGATCCCTCTCATACCACAAAAATGAAAAAGTACATTAACGACTATGACTTGGGCTCACTTCGTTGCATGAATGAAAAAATAGGCTTTCTTTTCTGATAAACTTTCTGGAAGCTGAAAACTCAGAGCCAACCTCCTTTCCACTCTTTGCGACAATGAAAATACTGCACAGCACTAGTGACAAAAGGCTTCTACTTGAAAACCATGAAACAAGGAATTTGAAGCTCCCCAAACAACCAGGAAAGAGGATATCACAGAATCAAGGTAGGGAACAGTTCCAACTCTAACAACCCCTCCCTTTCTCATTTCGTGTCAATGAAATGTAAAAAGCTTTGCTAAATTTTCTACTCTTGTATCCTCCTCCCCACCAGAATCAGCCATGCTTGAGCTTCAGCCTGAAGCAAAGTGAATGTGCCATTTCCATCTGTGGTATTTACCTGATTTTGAATAAACTTTAAATGATCTACTTTTAATCCAAGGAAAAACACATAGATAAGTAGCCAGAACTCAAACACACATGATATGGGCTCATCAAACTCCCTTGCATTCAATCAGTGACAATGATGGAGCTGAGTTGAACTTGGAATATATGGATATGCTTGGCACATCAAAGAACTGGTGTTAAAGTGCAACAGCAGGGTATATATGGGATGGATGAAGATGACAACAACCACACTCAAGAATAAATTAGGGGATATTTTGTAACAAGCCATCCCAATATTCTCAAGATGCCTCCAGAAAGACATAAACAAGAGAAATGACAGCACTAATTGTCCTGATGGCAGTATCAGCCATTGTTCTTTGGTGGTTGGCGAAAAACAATAAATGTGCTGTGCGACACCAGTGAATGAACAACAGAACAAAATAAAAACAAATCTTGTCTCCTGCTTTCCAACACGTCTCAAGAGGTAGTAGGCCAGAGTAAGAGAAGCACCAAAGTGACACCTCAATTTGGGAGTGAAGAAATGTTCCTCAACCATACCCGAGTTCAAAGCCATTCTTCCTTGAGAATACCATACATTCAGCAATGAATTCGTGTTGATGGAATAGTTGGGAAAAAGAAAAAATTATGCAATGGCAACATCATGGTCATGATCGCTGATCTGGTGCTGTTCATTGAAATTCTTCATCAGAGCTGAGTAGCGTGGTCTTTTCATTAAATCTTCTCGGTCGGACATTGGGGCCAACTCCAGTGTTGCTGGTGGAGGTTGTGCTAGTGGAAGTTGATGGGTCAGTGTTACCAGATGACTTCCAGTTAGACTGTGGGGTGGGAGTAACATCCACTCCGAGTGTAAGACTGTCATTTTGTGGCTCTCCAATGCCATGATCTCGATCCCTTGGAGGAGTCTCATCAACATCTTGATATCCCCCACTCCCCATGCGCATGTGGCCTGGTCCACGTCCTGGGCTCCGAGGATCTACAGAAGTATGCACAAATTGCAACATAAACACAAACAGACTTCATTTAGAACTCTCTCCCAGATAGTCATCATTTATGCCTGTTGGCTTTTGTGAGGCAAAATCTATGATATGAGAAGTTCTAATAGCCTCCCAGACAGGATATGAATGCACAAAAGACGAAGCAATTGAAAATTAGCAGAAGCTGGAACATAGGTCTTCCATATCATGCTCTAAATACCATCACCATATCCTTTTTCTTCAAAAAAAATTGCAAAAGCACCAAGCACCAATCAAGGGATTGAATCATATCACACACAGAGAAAGATACATTGATGTTGGTTCTCTGCTAAGAAAGAAACCAAATGATACAATACTCTTGACTAGCAAAGGACAGGAAAGTACTTTTATTTCCCCATCATTGAATTCACACAACTAATTCTGAGGTAATACATCATGACACATCAACATTGGACTTATTTATAGCTAATAGCAAAATTACAGTTGAATGAGGTACTGTCTAGAAAATTCATAGTTGCTATTACTGATAATCTATACCATAAATAGGAAGGATGGGAAAGGGTATGATCAATAAATGGATTTTATGAACTTTCACGAACCTTCTCTTCCTCCAACTAAACTTCTGAACTGTTACTGAATAATTTTCAATGAGTAACAAAAGCCAGCCAGTGGAATTCTACCCAATGAGTTTTATCTTTCCTTTTTTATTTTGAAAGAGGCACATGGATAAAGAAGAAAACCAGAAGTGAGTGAAGAAAATTATTTCTCCTAGTTTCCAAAGGATGCAAGGTACAACAAAAGGAACAAGGAGGATTTTTGATATGAAAGCATGCAAAAGTTACTCACCAACTGTCCCAAGCAGAGGCCACAGAGAATTCAGATTGTCAGACCAGTTAATCATATAGAGAATGAGCATTACCATTGAATAATAATAGTTTAAAAAACCATGGCTTACCCCTTTCCAGCAAAGTAGTTTCACTGTGAAACTACCATTTAAATTTAAAAAAAATCAAATGTCATAGTGGTCTTAGGACAAAACCACCTATTGAGTAGTGATGCCCTCTCTTAGGCAAGATTTTATTATCATTCTAATGTATTTCATATTCTAATATGTAGGTTTTTCCAAGAAATTGACCTGTGGCAAAAATGTAGAGGAATTTGCCTGATATGAGATCCCAATGAAACAAAACTAGCCAATTTGAATGGAGCAATGGCTAATAAAAGAGATAAATATCTGGATTCAGCAAAAGACCCCCTCTTTCAAGACAAGAATCCTGTAACAAGACCATACAGATGTGGAACCAATGTGCAGTTAAACAGATATGCACAAGGCAAATTAGAAACAGGAGCTATCAGGTTGCCTGCATAAAATGAGATGCTTATACATTTTCTTCATTTATTCCTTAGTGAAGGAGAGGAAAAGGGAGAAACTCACCAGAGCTATACTGTGTGTACTGCTGATACTGAGGATGGAAATTATGGATTGCATCAGTCATGATGTCCTTTGGGTTCATGGTTTCCTGGAATTTGACAAGAAAGTCAAATCGTAAAAGCATAGGAGAGAACAAGGCATATGAGACAAATCAAAACAGGGCTTCAGAAAGAAACAGAACTAAAATTATACATTATACATATGAGATAAAAGATATGAAAAAAAATACATACTATTATGGAGCAAAACAAAGGAATGGAACTAAGAGATGACCATTTGCAATTCCTTTTTCATATCTGCTCTGAAACTTACTTCAACACCTCCCCAATTATGGGTATAATACATTTTTGAAGGAACTTGTTAAAGCTATTTATTACATTTTCTCTGAGGTACTAATTACCTTCACAGTTTCTGCTTCATTACTTTTTAATCCCTTCTGAACAAAATAGGTCAAGGCAGAAATCCAGGTAATGTTCCAAAGTAATCTTCCAAATGGATCAACCCAAGTATGCTTAGATATATCATAGGCTTGACTAAGGGCCATACCAAGTCTTCCATTACAGATCTTAGCCAATTAGCAAGTATCTATAATTGCCTCCTACTTTTTCATTTTCCATATCGCAGAACAAAAATTTTTAATTTCATGACACACTTGCTAGAAGTGTTGCCTCTGTAGCCTAATTACTCTTTCCTTTCTACCATGAATTCAAAATGATCTAAAACATTTTAAAATATTTTGCACCTTTTCAAGTTGAGCCAATGGAGTTTCTGATCCAGAAGTTTTTACAAGTGCATATAGCAATTTTTAACAGTATGAAGTCATTCTGATTTCATGGTTGTGATCTTTTCCTGTAACACAACTGTTGCAAACTTGAATGAAAAATCACAACTTATTCCACTCAAGAAGTATGCCTAGCACACATTCCCATTGGGTCTATTAACACTTTCAGTCCCATACCAGTCGTATGACAGGTATAAGCCATAGTGCCTTCAAATCCCTGGGACTAAAAGTGTTAACAGCCCCCATGGAAAATTTACAAGATCCCTTTCAGCTTGGCATGACTTCCTCCTCAAAATGTATCAAAGCAGATGAAGATGCTATTACAGATATTCTCCCTCCAATAAAAATGTAGTTGTAACCCTGCTCAGAGAACTATGTCCACTCTTCCCATGAACCTTAGTTTCATAACACCTTACTTACCTTCCTCTACCCCTATTTTCAGTTCAGCCCTATGCAACATCTTATGAAGAAACCAGTGGAATATACCAGTCACATGAAAGATCAAGTCAGTGCTTGCCCTTTACAGACTTCAGGCAAGACCATCAAAGGCAGAGTAACTTGCTTGTGGGGATTTAAATATATCAAACAGTAAATAACAGATTATCAAGAGGTTATGTACCTTGAGAGAAGAGGAGATGCTTTGCATGGTGACAGATCGAGCACCAATCCCATCAGGTGAATACACTGATATGGGGAAAGCATATCTCAGGGCAATGGCAGCAAAGAACATTTCAATGCAGATGACAAAGTTTTGGATCCCTGCAGATACTGTGCCAGCACTGGTCGTATTTCCATCTCCTGTTGGGAGCGGCCGGATTACTCCTGCTTTTTCCAGGATGGCCAGTAGCACTCCTAAGAAGAATGAAAGCTTGTGGATAGAATCAAAAGTACAAGCTCAATCTGTTGGCAGATGAAAAGAGTAGGTTACCTTGCCAGAAGGACAAAAAGATGACAGACTTGACAGTGAAGAACTTCAGAACTGGTTCATATGGAGAGAGCATCTCTCGAGTGGCAAAGTAGAACAGGAACAGACCATACAGGGCCAGGGACACCGAGATGTTATAGATAATGATGATGTACAGGTAACCACCTTTCACACTGGTAAAAAGGATAGGCAATTTCAGACTGTGTGAATTTGTTAGCACTCTTTTCAATCAATAGTTTAAAGAGCTGTTGATCTGTAGAGTGGTTCATAAAATGCAAGCATTCTCAATATTACTCACTTTTATGCAATGAAGGATTAAACTAAGATGCTTTAAAATCATATTCATTCCAGAGGCAGTTAACCCTTTGATGCATAAAAGCATACTACAACTTCAACTTTGTCATACTCTCACTTTAGCAGCACAATGGCTGAAAAAAATTTGTTTACCTTGCATCAATTTGATGCATGCATCAGCCTGATACATGCATTCTGAATAGCCTACATTGATGAAACACTTAAAACCTTGTTAATAGTGCCTTCAGAGTTTTCATCTAGACAATGCCTCATAGTTTGACCCTCAACAATGACCCAATGGTGAGGCAGCTTGAGACAAAGAGAAGTAAACTGGAACTTGCAATGGTGCCACCCATTTCCATGATTCCTGGGATATTTGCCAGTTTTTTATCTCAGCATTGGCTCATCTCATGACCTCAAAACTTTGCTAGACATTTCTGCATATCTTTAGGGAGTTTTCCTGCTATGTGTCATCTATAAAAAACTCTTCTAGGTACCTGTTTCAGACAGTTAAAATGACCCCATAGCTTGTATTGAAACTTATTAATTTTGGCACTGTTTCTCCATGAATATCCATCCCACACCCTTAAAAAATTCAAACTGATTTCATGCTGTACAAGCTTGTGTACAAAATTTCATAAGGATTGCACAACTCCTTCTTGTTCAAATGAATTTTTTTGTTCCTTTCCAGAAGCCTTGTGACAGGGAAAAAAACTAGATTTGTCAATCACATTTGAACTATAACTTTTTGTGAAGCTGGTGATGCAGGTTAAAATTTCATTTCGCAATCAAAAAAGTTCAAGAGATCTTAAACTTTTGTCAAGACAAATCGGAATTGGAATACCTATGAATGTGAAATGTGTACCAGTAAAATACAAAAGGGGTGCATTGGTTTTTTACAGGAGTCCATGGACATAATCGCAGCATCAGCTGGAAAGAAAAAGAAAAGTGCTAGTTCTTTGGTGTCTCTGTTGGAAAGAGAATGAGGAAAGAAGTGCAGTTGTGCTACTGTTCATCAAGAACTTCAGAACCAGGGATTCAAGTCCTTTCATGTCATTGAGAAGCCCATGATTTCAGCTCTAAACTTAGAAGATAGGTTGTGGTTTGGTAATTTCTTCAGTAAAACTTGGTCATTCTGATAGCTTGAGTGGCACACAGTTCAAATGAGAAATTCACCTTATGGGGCAAGATAAATGAAATCCTCCTCATCCCATTTAGACAAGAAAGAATGAAGACCAGCTTCATGGAAAGTTATCACTCGTATGCGATAAACAAATCTACATTTTTCACTGTGATAAGGCATAAAGGGAACCAAATTTTAGAGCATTTTAGAACCATTTAGAGCAGAAATTGAATGAAAATTCTGAATATAAATCACTTTCCTCTTTGTCATCTTATTTTTCCCTGGGGAGGGTGGATGCATATATCTGAGACACCCTGTACAAGGTAAGATTCTTATTCAGTATATCAATAGTATTAGCTATCATTATTACTTGAGATTGCCTCTGAACATGAAGCAAGAATGCTCTACAAAGACACAGTCAGACTCTATTACAATGACATAGACAAATTGACTCTTTAAAATCAAATTTTAACAATGGGAATGATTCACAGTGATTAAAAATGTTGATCATATTTAGGGCTCAACCAAACATGCAAAGTTTGAAAATGTTCCATCAAATAAAATGGAGCATGCACTATTACAGAATGAGCACACCAGCAACCTAACATCCTCCCACACCTGTGTAATCCTCATTCCTCATATAACACCCATCAATGTAAGATGGGGCAAAATTTGTAAACTCCAAATAACTGCCACCAGAACCCATGATCATTTTCATTTTCTATGGATGAATGTGCAGCTAAATTTCATCTTCCTATGCACAGAAAGAGGGATAATAATGATGAAAAGTTTAGATTAGCTTTTTAAAGATGCCCTGAATAAACAATGTGGTTTCTCACTTCCAATCTCCATCAGAGTAGTGGCCAAGGGTCTGGAGGACAATTGTAATGAATGCCATCACTGGCTTCACAAAGCAGAACTGGAGGGTTGCCTGCTTGCAGAACCTCAGAACACCAATTGTGTAGCTCTTCCCAGAGATACAGCAAGTACAATACATGTAGCTGGACCTATATGAAAATGAAACCATCTCATTAACTGACTCAGAACAACAAAGACAAAGGTTTAACAAAATTCACATTCAATATACTTACTTGATGGGCTTCCCTCTGATTTCACTCATGATATTTCCTTCTCCACCAAGGTATTCATAGCAAAGGCTCAGGAAATTGTAGATTACAAATGCTGCATAAAGAAAAGAACCCTTTTTTCAGATCAGAAAAGAATAGTAATTCTTGTCCTGGACACCATTACTCACCTTCATAACAGTCCCGCACAGTATCAAAGTAAATGTAGTAGGAGTCATTGTTGAAAAAAAGGAAACTCAGCCAAGAATCAAATGCATATATTGGTACGATGAGCAGAATCCTCACAATCCATCTCTGTTCTGCTGGGTGTGTGTAGAATCTGAGATATTGGTAGATCTGGAGATTAAAAAAAATATGTAATGTTTATATGCCTCAAAGAAAGTCAATAAAGAAACAGCATGTTACTCTGACATCATCCAACATAGAGTATAAAAATGAAGTCCAGGCACCTGATGGCACGTGATGATGAGAGCAGCCCATGTGAAGATACCTGCAATAACCTGCGAGAAAGTTTTTTGCAGGAAGATTGGTTCGACCCCAATAACTTCAGACCCCCCAGCACTAGGAGTGGAGGTCGAACTTGGGGACACTGTTGTACTGAGTGATGAAAGAGTAGTAAAATCAGTAGAATTTAATGCCATGGTTGATTTATCAATGTTTGGTGTTGTCCAACTGGTAATCCTTGTACTTCAAAGGAGTTATGATGCTCTGGAATTCACTATAAGTAAGTAATGGCATTCAAGTTTCTGTCAAGTCAGCATCTGGAGTTCTGACAACTATATCCTTGCAATCTGGAAAGTAGAACATATGGACAACTTGTGCATCATGCAAACTCTGAGGCTGGCCAACTGTGATGGAATAGGATAAAACAAATGAATGCATAGATTCATAAATAATAATATTAAAAAAAACAAGTATCTAACAACCTTTTACCAACACTTCTCATGCCTATCTATATTCCACAAAACCATCCATCTGGAAGATGTTGCTGCTTGCAATCAATGGAAGTATCCCTCTAGGAGGGTGCGTACATAATAAAAAAATTGTGTAAACCAAGACCTACATAACACAACTCTCCTGCTTGTCAGGCCACTCCTTCTAGCATTAGATCTGAAAGAAGTCAAGTTTCACTCGCATCTCCTTTCCTATAAATTTATTTTCAATTTTTCTAAGGGGGAGAGGCATTTCTGCCATTGGGCTCAGCCAGAGTAGGCCTATACCTTGTTCATGGGGTCAAGTAGAACAAAAGGAAAATCTGTAATTACAACACCTTGCCCACTGATTCACCTTAGACCTGAAAGAATTTGAGAGTAGGCATATAGGCCAGAGATTTGATGTAACAGGAATGGGAAGAGAGTGGCGACAAGGAACCCCACTCAAGAACCTTAAGGCACACATCCAATATCATTTCCATCCTGCTAACTGAGGGCATGTTTTTCATGATGTGTACACTGATATAAAAGAATAGGCTTTTGACAATGTTTGACACTCAAAATCGACCCTTGAACTGAAAGTGTACAGCCTCAATGCAAATTCATTGATGTGGGATCTCCAACTTGATCAGAAGCACCAAGGCATTGACATTAATGACAACTTCTTCATTGGTACCACAGAGCCTCTAGGGTGCTTCAGGTTAGCATACTGAAGTCTCTACAGTTCATTATGCTAATGATCTCATGAACGAGCTGCTATCAAAATGAAACTTTTTGTTTGTAACGTGGAATTATATATTAATCCCATACATCCTTCATCCCAGTATCATAATCTTCCATCATCTTTAAATGCTATCAAGACAAGGTGCAACATGGCACCTTCTTATGAAACACGGCTTATTAAGGGTAACATCTAATGTAATTCAGTCTTAAATTATGCATATTTTCAGTTAGGGAACCTAGTCTAACCATGCATGTCACTAAAAAACCTGATCAATTACAGCAGAGGTAGCCAAACTTCCTGACCTGACAAGCTGCATAACAAAATTTTCATATGGTCAAGAACCACAAGACACACACCAAATTACATATCCATTTTCTAGTGCCAACACACCAATTTTACACCACTGCTCTTCATCCAGCATCTTATAGCAAGCCACACTTGAACTGCTCGGTAGTTAGGCCACTCCTGAATTTGAGCATCTTGATCACAAAACCCTAATGTCAACAAGACGAGTCACCACCATAACTCACCAATTTTGCTGAGATGCCATGTTGATGCATACATAACATGGTCCATGTACCTTGTCTGCTAGTACCCAATGACATGCAATCTTGCTTTACCAGGGAAGTACTATACCATCATGCCTACCTTGCCAAGAAAACTGCAGTTCTCATTCTTAGCCAAACTTATCATCCAACTTGATGCTGCCTTATCATTTGACATGGTAAGATCCATGACAGGGTGAATGTATATCACCAATTGCAACTCCCAACAAAATAAAATCTTCACCTGCAATGTATTGCAGTGCTGAACAAGGACCTAACTTTAAGAATAGTAGAGATTCCCACCTTCACAGACATAGTATTAAAATTGATGTAAATTTTAAAATGAGATCAGTGGCAAAAGAATGAAAGAGCAACATGGCAACTTTTATGTTCGTGACATTAAATTCTGGCAGTCATGGCAGAAAGACTATTCCAAAGCTAATCAAACTCTTCACATCTTTTGGTTCTTGTCACAGCTTCCATAATATATACAGGATGTTCCAAAAGCTATCTTCATAATTCAGAAAATTAGAGCATGCATAAAATAGGGAGTTGTGGTATGTGCTAAATTCTTCAGTAGGTATACTATGGCTCAACACACCACAGTATTCCAGTAATATTGATACTGGTGGGGGGGTACCTGCTTTAGTTATGAACTCCCAGAAAAAGCCCCAAGAAGAGAGGGAGTCTTCCTATTGTAATGGCATTGAGTGAGCCGTTAATCCGTATTGATGCCATTCAATTGAATGGCAAAGAGATTCATAGCTTCATTTGTTTCAACCCAAATGGATGGATTCTGTAGGCATGCCCAGGATTACTACTATGATTAAAGTTACTGGGAGGACTCAAATTATGGAGCTCAAAAAAAAAAAAAAACAGGGAAGAGAAACCATTTTATAATTGTGCATGGTTGCAAGTTTCCTACATTTCAATATACCTCCAAAACACAAGAAGTATCTTTGGGTTCAATAATGTTGTCAGTGTCTCCAATGTCACCACATCCCACATATTCAGAAGACATTGTGAAGATGATGAGTGCTTGGGCACACAGAACAGAGGGTACAGTCAAGGCACAAGTCACACCTATAAATAACATATTGGTCCTTGAGTCTGGATTAAATTCATACCAGTGACTTCCAGGTAGGCTTTGGTTTTCCCTGGGCAGTGGGCATCACCATGGATGGAGATGGGGAGGATAGTTGACAATGTATTTTATTTTTAGAAGTGGCTGAAGGTACAGCGTTATGGTGGTAGTATGATGAAAGGTGGTGTCCTTCAATTTCCACACTGTCATGACAGTATGAACATGGACGGTATTCCACAGCTTTCACACTGTGGCAATGATACCAAAGAATGTAGAATGGGTCGGTATGATTGCCATGAGAACTGAATACCAAAAATACCAGTATACTGCAATGCCCTAACATGATGGAAGATGGATTTAAATAGAGTTGGAACAATGTGACTAGGCAGAAGCTGATGTGTGCAAACAAATCAGGTGTTTTGATGATGACCCCATTTTCCTATGTGGCCTAATAGTAAAGAAAAAAGCCACCTGGAACAGGCACCCTGAACACACTCCCAGAATTTAAAGATAATATACACCTCAAGATTTGCCTCAATCAAGAAATGCTACACACAAGTGTGGAATGTGCTGCAATGTCTTGTGATCATCATAACCCTAATCCAATGGAACCCGTGTTGAGACACTGCTATAATCACCTGAACTCTGAATTGGATCTTTCAGGGCATATGACCATCTGCATGTGAAGGTAGAAGATGCAGAGAATGAAATACCGTTAATATTTTCAATTTGGCAGTATCTATTGGCCGAGCTGGCTCAGGCCAAACTTCAGGTCCATCTGGGAATCATGACTTCTAACATCACTCCTAAGATGATAAAGCTTCTGGCAGCCCATCAAACACAGGCATTTCTTCCAGGGTATAGGAAGGTGCTTCCTTTGCCTTGTGGGAAGACTTTGAGCCATCTTTTTCACCCTGTCAACAACATAAAACTAAGCAGTTCTTTGTCATTATAGTATATAATGATCTTTTAAAACTTCATACATCATGTCAGGATAGGAAGTAGGTGACATGCAAATCAACTAATTTAATATGACTCATACTGGAAAGTGGGGAAATTCTTTCTTGGCCTGGGGAGGTGCCCGCATTGAAATCAACTTTTGAAATCTCCCATTAAGGGCTCTTTCTCTCCACACTGCTAGGGCCTTGAGTGAGACTTCTGCCCTAAATATGACTTTTGGGAAATCCTACATCTTTATAAGTACTCTTAGGATGAAATTGCTGAAAAAATATACACAAGGCAGCTTTTATGACTTTTAGGCCTAACCTTACTCATAGTTTTTCACTTCAGAAAGCCAGCTCGACCACAGCTTAGAGGCCGATCTCCCTTCCATAGATTGTTGGTCTCATCAACTGAAGGAACATCATGAGTCAGGAGCCTTCCAGCTTGTCCCTTAAGTCAGGGTTGGACCAGCTCAGTCAATGGACATTGCCTTTCAATTTTGTTCACGCGCTGTTTGAGTTCTACGTCCGACTTCTATCAGAGGTTGGACGTATAATTCATAAATAAAAAGAAATGCCTCTGATACCAAATGCTGTTAGCGCTCATCTATCAGAGGCATTTCTTTTTTTGCTTTCCAAGCTAAATCATGTCCAACCCAAATGAAAAATACTCCGGAAACCTCAAAGTACGTCTATAATACCTTTGGCCTGCGCCTTAGGTCTGAAGTTAGGAAGGGCCAAGCGTTCGAGCTAACGTTAAGCCCATATAGCCTATGATGAGACAAGCTTACACTAAGTTGCAGAAGTCTTAAGGCTTAGGGTAAGAAAAAGCCGATGGCTAACGCTAGGCCTCAAGTGTACCAAAATCGCCACATATGGTAGAGACATGAGCCTAACGCTAGAGGGAGAGTGCCGAACGAGGAACAAATAGGATCCTGCGCCTGGGATGGCGAATTGCTATGGGCTAATCACGGAGACACCACGCGAGCAGTCGCACCATCGTGGATGAGAATCCTTTGCGCGCAATCGCATTGGTCGTTGGGAAGAGGACGTTCGATCAATCTTCCCTTTCCTTTCACATCCTCTCACAACACAATACCTCTAAAGTAATATGAGAATTTCAGTCTTTCATCAAGACCCGAGCTACTTTGGTGCAAAATGCTTGCGCAATTTATTCAAAATGCTTTGCAAAATATGCAATATGAAAATACAGCTATTTGAAATGGAACGAAAGGCAAAAAGAAAAAAGGAAAAACAGCAACAAACTAAAAGCGAAACCGAAAAGTCACCTGTAATAGGTGAATTTTTCCTGTTTTTTTTTCCTTTTCAGAACAATGGTTTCAACCTTATTTCATTCGTTCGGACACTTGCTTCCTTTTTGGAGTGCATTTAATCCATAATACAACTGAATTAAGCGCAGAAGAAAAGGTCTGAGACTAGACTTTTTAGGATGGATTTTTGAACAGAGAACTATCCGATAATGCAACTTTATTTACAAGAAATACCAAGTATTTCCACCCTTAGACTTCTTCTTAGAATGAAAATTCACTCGATAAAAAATAATAGCCAAATGAGCAACTTAAG